TTCTCCGGCGTCGGTGCGAGCATAGTGGCACTTCTTGCCTGTCAGTCACTTTTTTCTCTGACAGTCACTGGCTGTGCCAGCAGACACCACTGGAAGTTAATACTACTACTACTGCTGCTGCTGGTTCTGCAGTGGGCACTGCGCTACCCTACGCTGGCGTGATTCTCTTAATGAAAGTGCTGTACAGTTGTCTAAAAATATACTTGTTCTGGTGCTGTCTCTTTCTCTCTCTTTTAAAAAGTGGCCAATAGGTGTGTGCCCCGATTGTGTCTGGGTCATGGTGGTGGTGGTGGTCGTCGTCGTCGCTGCTGTTCCTTCCACTGCTACTGCAGCCAGTGCCTTCCTTCTACTCAAGGTTGCTATCACTGACGCAAAGGCCGCACCTTGCCCTGTGCAGCCCTCTGTACAGACCGCTTTCTGATCGTCCGCGTACGACACACTGTCTTTCGTTGCCTTCTGCTCTCTGCTCTCTGCTCTCTTGGACCAGCAGCAGCACCTAAGCGCAGAAGGAAGGAAGTAGCAGGTCCAAGGAGAGGGCAGTCAGCCTGTCAGCCAACTTGTTTCTTGTCAGTCTTCTCTGATTCTCAGCTTTATCTTCTTCTATTTCTTCCTCTCTGACTGGCCGATGACTGGTCGCCCCCTCTTGCCAGTGACGACCACTACTGCCGTTGGCACACGATTCACTTGGCCAACACATTTTCACACACTCACTCCAGGCGCTTCTCTTTTTCATTCTCTTTATTGGCCAATTTTCGCAGTCATAACTTTTCGCCAAACTAAATACTATATAGAGCGAGAATGCTCGTACATTGGTACACCCTGTCGAGAAATGCATCCCCATCAGCATACCCCGGCTACTCTCTCTTTCTTTTCACCGAACATGAGCAGAGATTATCCAACTGCCTTTGGATCTGTGTTTGCTTTCCCGATGCTCTTTGTCCGTTTTTCCGCATCTGCTGGTAGTGGAGAATAGGATAGTAGTTGCAGTCTTCTCCACTCGCTGTTGCCCCGTCAAATGGTAGCTGCTGGCTAGTGCAGTTGCTGGCAAGTGGAAGTACGGAATAACAGGCACACACACAAACAGAGCAGACCAGAGTTGAGGGAATTATGAAAAAGTACAGACAGCGACTAAGTGTGTGTGTATGCCTTCCTGGCCGCCGACGCTGCTTCCAGCTCTTGTTCCTGCTCCCGCTCCAGCACCAGGAGATTTCGGTACTGGCTGCAGCAATAAAGCGCCCAGAAGCTCTCTTTCTCTCTCTCTCTCTCTGCCTCCCTCGCCCTCTCGCTCCCTTCGGTGGTGCCATTTGCTTCATTCGATGTCCAACTACCGCCAGCACGATTATTCGTTGACGCAACCGCAGCGAGTGCCTCTCTCCCGTGCCCCGTTGCTTGGAAAGAATGCATTGTTGTGAAGAGAGAGGATGCCTGTAACCAATGCCTGTAACCAGTGCTGCTGCCCTCTTCCTATTCCTATTCCTTCTCTTTCTCCACTACTACCGCTCTTCTCTTTTCGAGGCCACCGACTGCCAGAAGCAGTAGTGGTGGTGGTGGTGGTGGCAGCGGTGGTTATCCTCCTGCTATATCGATCCGCTGCCTCAATTGGAATCGGTCCGTCCTGTCGGCAGTTCCGCTGCCCCTGACGGTCCGCGCTCTTCACTGCCTGCCACCACCAGTGCCGAGCGCTTTCAGTGGGCACAACGGGAGGAGGAGGAGGAGGAGGAGAGGCAGCCCGCAAGCGGGGCACAGGGGAACGGCGAGGGGAAGCGGCATCGCAGCGGCAACACCGGAGGACAGACACTTTGTACCGAGACCGACGTGCTCGAACGGCGCTCGGTCGCAGCAGCCTCTCTCCCCCACAGCACAGTGTGGTGTGGCTGGAAGGCAGCAGGCAGGCAGGCAGACTGATTCAGTGCGCGATTAAGCGACCGCCGCCCATCGACTACCTCTCTCTCTCCTGCGCTTGAGAGAGCACAGCTCTCTGCTCTTTTGCACCCTGCATGCCTCCTGCTTTCCCCAGCCTGTTTCCACCACTCGAGAACTTCAGCTTCCGACTTGGTCGCGCCGACCGCTGTAGCCGACGACGACGACGACGACGACCACGAATGCTCTACTAGCTCTCTATCAGCAGGCTCACGGCGTCCACTAGCATCAGCAGAAGAAGAAGAAAAAGAAGAAGAAGAAAAGTACTACCGCGGCCCTAGTGTGTGGGAGAGTGAACGAAAGCGAGCGCGAGGGAAAGCCACCTTTTTCTAGTCAGCAGCATTCACACTGACTCACCCACTCACTATTGCTCTCTTTCCCACTCCTCCTCCTCCTGCAGGATTTGCATCAACTAATCGGCCAAACATAGTTCATCAGCCCTTCTTCACCTTCCACTTTGTTTTCAGTCGGCGTCACCTCTTCTCCTTTCCACCTTGATGTAGCGCCAGCAGACTGAGCCAGGTCGTCTACCATCTCTAGTCAGAAAAGACCTTCTCCTCATTGCTTCCAACGTCCAGTCACCGTTAACCATCACTGTAACCTTTGCCGACCTTACGTCGCACCGACCACCACTACACTGTCGCCGCTCTCTGCACAAAACAAAATCCTCCTCTGATGCAGGCGAACCAGTCCACCACCACCACTACCACCGAGTGATCTCGAATAGTTGCATTGCCAATACTGCACACCGCCACTGCGACAAGACCCCTTTACCTGGTGCCCAAACTCATAAGCTTCTCCCTCAACTTCTTCCTTCATCAACTTCATCAACTTTTCTTCCCCTCACTCATCCACCGGCCAGAGGCACTTCTAGTTCTCTAGTTTGGTCCACTTTGTTTGGTCTAGTCAGGCAGGCATCGATTCCGACGGCCACCAGTGACCATCGTCACCTTCGCCCTTTACCGGTGAAGCAGTGCAGCAACCCCCCTTTGTCGTCACCTAGTTGTTCCACCGTTTTCTAACCATTACGACACTAACACATATCTGCGGAGCCATGGGCTGTGCGATGTCCGCCGAGGAGCGGGCTGCTCTTGCACGCTCCAAACAAATTGAAAAGAACCTCAAAGAAGATGGAATACAGGCGGCAAAAGATATCAAGCTCCTTTTACTGGGTAAGTGTTGTGTACAGTCACAGGCCTAAACAAACTCGCAGTTGCACTCAACACACATATCAGCTACGCTGGCAGGAGACTTCAGATGAGCCGCTTCACTCTATTAGCACCAGCAATTATTGCAGTCTCTGCATATTTGTCAGACATATTATTTTAACTGTTAGGACAATGACGGTAGTTAGTATGATATAAATAGACGACCGCTCTTCCCCTCAATCCCTCCTTCCCTTTCTCTCTAGCCCTCCCTCAAGCCCATTTACCATAAACAATTGCCAAAGTGCAGACTGCAGGCCACCGTTTTGGCCGTACATTGACGTTTGTCTGACTGTGACACTTACTAATGATCACATTTCTCATTTACCAGGGGCTGGTGAGAGTGGAAAGTCAACCATCGTCAAGCAAATGAAGTGAGTGTCTAGTCTGTCCAATTCAGTCTGTCCAACAAACAATGCTAACCTGTCCCTTTACTCCACTACCACCACAACCACCAGGATCATCCACGACTCTGGCTTCACCACCGAGGACTTTAAGCAGTACAAGCCAGTGGTGTACTCGAACACAATTCAATCAATGGTGGCAATTTTGCGTGCAATGCCCAACCTGGGCATCACCTTTGGCAGTCCGGACAGAGAGTCAGACGCAAAGATGGTCTTCGACGTGGTCTCACGCATGGAGGACACTGAGCCCTTCTCCGACGAACTACTCTCAGCGATGAAGCGGCTCTGGGCAGACACCGGCGTGCAGGATTGCTTTGGCCGATCAAATGAATATCAACTAAACGACTCTGCCAAATAGTGAGTTATCTGTTGGCATCACTTCTCTGCCTTGCTTTCTCTAACACGCGTCTTTTTCTTCTTTCTTTCCCCGCCCACAGTTTCCTAGATGACTTAGACCGCTTAGGAAAGAAAGACTACATGCCAACCGAACAAGATATTCTGCGAACTCGCGTCAAAACCACTGGCATTGTCGAGGTGCACTTCTCCTTCAAGAACCTGAACTTCAAACTGTTCGACGTCGGTGGACAGCGGTCGGAGCGAAAGAAGTGGATCCACTGCTTCGAGGATGTGACCGCCATCATCTTTTGCGTAGCCATGTCTGAGTACGATCAAGTGCTGCACGAAGACGAGACTACCGTAAGTGGACGGAGGAGGACGGGGGAGCTATCCCTCACACACTCCTGCAGCACTCTTTGATGACCACTTTTAACCGCAAACATTCCCTTGTTTGTTGCCTTTTCTCTCTTTCTATTCACAGAATCGAATGCAAGAATCGTTGAAGTTGTTTGACTCTATATGCAACAACAAATGGTTCACGGACACCTCCATTATACTCTTTTTGAACAAAAAAGATCTGTTTGAAGAAAAAATTAAGAAATCACCCCTGACAATTTGCTTCCCTGAATACACGGGTAAGTGCGCGCGGCTTCATTCGTTTCAATTAGCCTCCTCTCACGTCGTCCTCTTACTCATTTTAATGGCCCTTATGTGAGTCCTCAGTGGGCACCCCGGTTTGGTGCTCAGTCTTCAGTGGAACTTCTTCTTCTTCTTCTTTACAGACCGTTCTTTTGCAAAACTTTCTCCCTTCTCAGGCAGTCTGTCTCTAGTCTAAGTAAACGTACACTTACTTACCTAACTCAGTGGCCAAGCACCGTCTGAGTCAGTGAGTCCTGAGTGGCTGCTGCCGCTCGTCTGAGGCGGCCAGTGAATGGCATTGTTTCACTTTGTGGCCTTGACAACTTTGGAGACTGTCTGAACAACACACACACACACACACACTGTTCTACTGCTGCAGAAACAGCTGCGGCGACTGATGCTACTGACGATGCCACTACTGCTCCAGCTCTGGTCCAGTGCACTTGCCCCACTGGGCGCGCAGTAAATGCCTTCTAGCTGCCTTCATTGGCATTTCACTGACACTCTCAGAGACGCCTCTGAGTGAGTTTGCAGACAGTCAAACAGTGTCGCTACTTTGCATGGCAGCAGTTAAATTGAAAGTTGGCCGGTAGTTTCTCTCTGAAAACTGTAAACTGACACGTCGACAGACACACAGTTTACTTTTATCTGGGGCCATGTTTCTCCTGATGTGCCATCCATTTCACACTGTTCCAAACAGGGAAAGGGCTTTCGCTTTAAAGAAGGCAGAATTGTCAATAGTATATTTTTTCATTAAAAATCAGTACAGGCAGTCTTGTTGACTGAAAACGTAGCCTTGCGTATTATGCATTTTACGGGAAAAAGTAGGGAAGAAGGAGGTGTAAATTAGGGGTACTGGCCAACGCGAACGGCTTTCAGCTCACTGGCTCTCT